CTGAGTGGAAGAGGCTAGCAATGGGGGATGGGGAGGATGCTGGGAGCAGCGGGGCTGCTGTGTGGGGTGAAGCCAGGGCCTCACCGGAGGGCTGGTGGAACAGTTTCTCACATCCTCTCTTCCAAGGGCCGCTGGCCTTGGGTGGCCCCAGGCACAAGCTAGAAACAAGAAAGAAAATCCAGGGTCACTTGGAGACCAGCTAGCTCCTAGAGAGGGCGCGCAACCACCCCCTCCCTCACAGGGCCTCCTATTGCCCTAGCCTCCATCCTTTGAAACACGGGCCATGCTGCCCAGCTCTACTTGAGGATAAAAATAATCAACATTTCATAGGAAATCAGGCTGAATTGGACGGCACGCTGGGTCACAATCAAAGAAACCTGTTTCATTGACTAGTGATTGCCACTTTTGGATGGGTTTTAGCGCTCATTAAATCTATTTTTTTCTCCTAATCTAATTGGGTCTTTTCAGGGTCTACCGAACTGGAAAAACTGTGTGTAAATTAAATTTTTGTAATCAAATTTTCTTTGAGATGCTCTAGAGGATCTTGCTAAATCATCAGCCCACCTTCGTTTTAGCCTTTCATAAATCCAGTTTTGTATATATTGGCTTTACTAAATATATTGGCTTTACTAAATCCACGCCCACTGTACCATTTCTTACAACCCAAATTTTAGCCTATCATTTCAGGCTCATTTTGAATACATAAAACAAGTCATCCCAGTCTGACCTCAGTGCCTTGTGGGGAAAAGTGGATTAACCTTTAAAGAGATGCGATGGAATCCAGGACTCCTGGCAACTTTTCTTTTTTTTTGCTTTCCAGGTAGGAGACTCGGGTTTATTTTATGCACCTCATACCTAGCCAACACCTGTTTGTCAGTGCAGGCTGTGTGCTTCTATGATGCTGAACGGGTTACAGTGGAGCTTCCAGGATTAAGACAGACTAGGAAGAAAGGACTGGAGATCTGCTTCTGAAAATCAGCCAGTGAAAACCCGATGGGCCAGAGTGGTCAGATCTGCACCCAACCATGGGTTTGGGGTGGGACCAGGCAGCGTTTTGCTCTGCTGCTTATGAAGTTGCGGTGAGTTGGGGGCCCGATTCTATGGCAGTTAGCAACAATTATAGGCCAGACCCTGAACTCAGCAATTTCTATATAGAATCTCATTTGATACTTGCAACAACACCATGAGGTGGGCATTATTGTCCACCTTCTATGGAAGAGGAACCTGAGGCCCAGATAGGTTTGGTAACTTGCTTAAGCTCTGCCACCGTGAGTTAGTGGTAGAACAGGGACTCAAACCCAGACCATCTGAGTACAAAAGAGAGGGGTGCCCTTTCCATCCTCCCACTCTGCCAGGTGGGCCGGGAACGGTAATGCCACAGAAGGGACAGAATTGGAGATCTAGGTTCCAGTTTGGGCTTTGCCCTAAATTTGGTGCGACCCAAGGAAACTAAAAATCCAAACCCATTGCAGTTGAGTTAATTCCGATTCGTAGCAACCGTATAGTCCAAGGTAGAAATGCCCCTCAGAGTTTAGAAGGCTGTGATCAATCTTTACAGAAGCAAACTGCTACATCTTTCTTCAGTGGAGCAGTCGGTAGGTTCACACCACCGACCTTTCAGCTAGCAGCCAAGTGGGTAACCACTGCTTCACCAGGGTTCCTGACCTGAGGAGAGTCACTCAATATTTATCAGGTGAACATTTTCTAAGTGCCTACTGTGTGCCAGGCACTGAGCTAAGTTCCATAGGCCTCTAAAAATGAAGGGTTGGATTAGATAAAGTCCCTTCCTGCTCTGAAAGTCCAGGGTTTCTGATAGTCCATCCATCCTCCCCACCTTCTGCCTTTCATGGGGGATTTCCTCAGAGGGTAATGGGGGCACGAATTTGGGGAGATCCTATATGTATTTTGGGTTGAGTTACAGAGGGAAGGAAGGTGGCTGAGGTTTTAACACCTGGCCATCTTGGTATCATAAACTCCAGGGGGGAGATAAGACCCCCTACTGTTCATTTAAGAAAATAAACATGTATCTCTGTCAGAACAGATCTCAGGCAAAGTGGTGGCACTAAAACACTAACATAAGAAGCAGGACACAGCCAATCCATGTCCCTCTGGCCTGGAGGCACTGATAGTAGGGTAATGCTCAGGAACTTCTTGTTGTTGTTGTTATGTGCCGTCGAGTCAGCCCCGACTCATAGGGACCCCTCCTTGGGTTTCGGAGGCAGTATCACTACGGAAGTAGGATTGCCCAACCTTCCTTCCGAGGAGTGGCTGGTGGGTTTGAACCGTCAGCCTTCTGGTGAGCAGTCAAGTGCCTTAGGCACTATGCTACCAGAGCTCAGGAACTTAGTGCTGAATGAATGAGCAGAATCCTGCTGACAGAGAGCAAAGGGAAGGAGGCCTCCCTAAGGCTGGAGGTGGGGTAGGTGTGAGGGACATTGATCTGGACACCTGCTTGTGACCAAAGAGGACAAACAGAACATCGTAGGGGGGATTGGGAGAGTGCCAAGCTAGATTTGAGCCAAGTCACGAGGGCCCTGGGGTGCCTCTTCCTCAAGATAGAGAGGGCAACCAAGAAGAAAAGAGACAATCTGGGCCCCAGCCCTCACTCACTCCAACCCTTCCTGAACCCAGAGGGGAAAGGCCAGAGCTGCTCTACCACTGGGCCTGCCCTCCTCAGCGTGGGAGGGAGAGGCCGAGATGCAGGAAGAGGCCGAGATGCACATACCACAGAGGAAGACAAGCCAGGGGCCGCAGCCCCAACGAGCCCGGGCCATAGAGTCTCCAGATGCAGGCACTGGTGGATGGAGGGACTGGGGAGAGTGGGCAGGGCTGTTTCCCTGGCCTCTTCCTCCAGATCTTCCCTGGGCAGTTGCAGCGAGGGAGTGGGGGCTGGCTGCAAAGGAGGTGTCCAGCTGGTAGATGGAGTATCCCCGCTTAGGTCCTTTGTTTCTGAGGCCTCCGTGAGTCAGGGCAGGCAGAGGAAACTCAGGCTACCCCAGGCTGTCTCTGTCTGCTCTTCATTCACTAACTGCCGTCAAGTCGGGTCCGACTCATAGTGACCCCTCCTTGGGTTTCTGAGGCAGTAGTATCACTACGGAAGTAGATTGCCCAATCTTCCTTCCGAGGAGTGGCTGGTGGGTTTGAACCGCCAGCTTCCTGGTTAACAGTCACATATCTTAGGCACTACACCACCAGAACTCCTCTGCTGGCTCCTAATTCGCCGGAATAGGGTGTGAGCCCGCCCAGGGCAGAGTCCAAAGATCTCGGAGACAGAGGAGCAACAGCTGGTCTCAATCAGCCTGCTTGTCCCAGCCCCCTAGTCAGCAGTCAGGCCCCAGCCATTCCTGAATTCTGTCCCCCTCCCTCCAGCAAGCTGTTTCCCATTAGCTCCCCCACCCCGGGCTCTGGCTTTAGCCCTGCTTATGTCTCAAGATGGATGTTTGCTGTTCCTTCTCCTCCAGGCTGGCCTGTCTCAGGAAAAGCCTGTGTCCTCTCTGTCCTTAGGGCCTCTCTCAGGCCCCTGGGGGAACTTGGTGGTAGCTAGAGAGTTAACTCCTTGAGCTGGGCTGAGGTCCTTCAGAAGATCCGACTCTGTCAAAGTGCTCCCAGCCACTGGCAGTGGGCAAGATTGCCCTTCCCTAGGAAGCCCGTGAGTCCTGCTCAGTTGCACATTCTAGACCCTGGGAAGCCCAAGCTGTCATCAGCTGTTCACACCTGAGAGAAAATGATGGCCCAAAGTTGCCCTTATTTGGAAGGATCAAGGGATGTCACTGAAGAGGGAAGAAGTTCCAGAAAGGGGAGTTTAGGCGTCCCAGAAGACAAATTTGGTTAACTGGAGTTCTGGTGGTGCAGTAGTTAAGTACTCAGGTGTAACCAAAAGGTCAGTTTTTCAAACCAAACAGCTCCTCCGTGGAAGAAAGAGAGGGTTGCTTCTGTAAAGATTTACAGCCTCAGAAGCCCTATGGGGGAGTTCTACTCTGTCCACAGGGTCACAATGGGTTTTATGGAAATGCCCTTGCTACCATAGCTTTTAGGAGCTCTGGTGGCGTAGTGCCTAAGGCACTTCACTGCTAACCTGAAGACTGGCGGTTCAAACCCACCAGCCACTCCTCAGAAGGAAGGTTGGGCAATCTACTTCCGTAGTGATACTGATTCGGCAACCCAAGGAGGGGTCGCTATGAGTCAGGGCCGACTCGATGGCACATAACAACAACAACATGGTACATACACAATGGAATACTACGCAACATTAAAGAACAATGATGGACCTGTGAAACATCTCATAACATGGATGAACCTAGAGCCCATTATGCTGAGTGAAGTTAGTTAATCACAAAAGGACAAATATTGTATGAGACCACCATTGTAAAAAGTCAAGAAAAGAGTTTCACAAAAAAAGAACTATTTTTGGATGGTTACCAGAGGTGGGTGGAAAAGGGAGGGCAAACCACTAAAAAAAAAGAAGTCCAAAATTAAGGTGTTGGAAGGGCCATGTTCCTTCTTTAGGCTCTGGGGAAGGATCCTTCCTTGCCTCTTCCAGCCTTTGGTGGCTACCAGCAATCCTTGATATTCCTTGGCTTATAGCTATATCACTCCTCTGCCTCTGTCTTCACATTCCACATGGCCTTCTTCCCTCTGTGTATGTGTGTCTCATCACACGACGTTTCTATAAAGACAGCAGTCATTGGATAATCTTGTATGACCTCATCTTAATTATATCTTTAAAGACCCTTTTTCCAAATAAGATCACATTCTGAGGTTCTGGGTGAACATAAATTTTGGGGCAGACACTATTCAAGCCAGTACAGGGGCCTTCATACCCTTCCCTGATGAAGACATTGGTTTTGAGATAAGAAGATAAGGGAGGAGCTGAGGGCGAAGGCAGGTGATGCCATCATTGCTACCAGGGCCAAAGCAGGGACCCCAGGGGATACAATCAGAGGACTGAGTACTGTGTGGAGGCTTGTAGGTTATACAGATCATCTCCCAGCAGAGTTCAGAAACCTGAGGAGGGAGGTCTGTCCAGCTTTGTGAAGAGGAAGGAGAGGAATGAGCAAAGAGGCTTAGTGAACTCCACCTTCAGGAATACAAGTGCTATGGATTTAATTCTGTCTCCTAAGATATGTGTTATAATCCTACACCTGCAGGTTACAAGACAGTATAGGCTGTGTTTTAAGTCAATCTCTTCTGAGATATAAAAGAGATTCAATAATAAGTGAGCAAGCGGAGGTGGGAGTAGAGAGATACCGAGTCATATGAAGAGCACTCCCCGGAAGGAAGATGGGACAATCTACTTCTGTAGTGATACTGCCTCGGAAACTCAAGGAGGGTTCACTATGAGTCGGGTCTGACTCGATGGCACATAACAAAAACAACAAATGAAGATCACCCATGAGCAGAAGGACCTTTTTCCACAACTGACAGAGAAAGCATTCCCTTAGAGCCAGTGCTCTGAATTTGGAGTTGTAGCCTCCTAAATTGTGACAAAATAAACTTCTGTTCATTAAAGCCACCCACTTGTGGTATTTCTATTCGAGCAGTGTTAGACTAAGACAACAAGCAAAGGGCACAAGGCCACAGGCACAGAGGACAGACCAGGGACAAAGATGAGAACTCTGACCACTGATGCACCCACTATCTTTTCTGTGCCTTCTCTCTCCTAGCCTGTTCCAGGGCTGGACTGGAGTTATTCCCAGAGACCAGGGGGCTAGGAAAACGCCTTCTGCTGTCCTCTGTGCACTGTCTTAGCCATCCCAAAGGGCCAGCAGATAGTGCTGATGGAGGCTTGCTGAACAGGACTAAAAACAGCCTGTTAGGAGGTTTGGGAGCCAGACCACCTGGGTTTCAAACCCAGCTCTGTTCCGCGTTACTAACCTCTCTGAGCCTCAGTTTTCTCACCTATGAAGTGGGTGTAATAATAGTACTAACTTCTTAGGGGATATAGGAGTGTCAAATGTGTTAATGTTCATGAAGCGCTCAGAACATGCCTGGCACATGTTTGTTATGTAAGTGTGTGTTAGAGCAAATACATAACTACAATTAAAACCAGTCTCATCTGTACCTTGTTCCTTCTGCTCCTGGCATTCCATACTGCTGAAGTAGCAGTTAATGTTATAGCAAAGATCAGCTGGGCTGAAGGGCCAACCTCACAAACAAACTGGGCAGGCCTTCCTCCGCAGCTTCTGGACTCTGCCCGGGGATGATCGTTAGGTTGTTACCAAGGCTCCACAGAGCACTCCTCTCTCAGATTCTGTTCCCTGAGTCCCTGCCCTGGCCTTGGTGACAATGATGGCCTAACCTACCTCCACCCTAAGCTTCCCCTTATCTTCTTATCTCAAAACCAATGTCCTTGCTCATCAGTTTGCAGACTTGAGCCTGACTTGGCAATAGGCCTTGAAATGGAAAGAAATAATTCAGTGTGTGGAGGGTGAATGGCCAAGAGTCCTTGTCTCAAAGTTGTTGGGAAGACTCACAAGTCACTAGAGCCTTGCTGTGGCCTACACAGATGGCTAACCTCTGCTTGGTTCACTTTTTAGCCCAAGGCTAGCCTAAAGGCCACATTATGGAATTGGAGGAGTTCTTCAGGGACCCTCCTGCTCAGGCCTCTTTTTATTTGCCCCCTGATCCCACCCCTATTTCCCGAGGCTTGTCACTCTGATTTCCAACCTGGGTCCACGCTTTCTGGCACTGATGCTAGCCTAAACCCATTGCTGTCAAACTGGTTCTGACTCAGCAACCCCTTAGGACAGAGTAGAGCTGCCCCATAGGGTATACAAGGCTGTACATCTCGATGGAAGCAGACTGCCACATCTTTCTCCTGTGGAGTGGCCAGTGGGTTTGAACCACCGATCTTTCAGTTAGCAGCTGAGCACTTAACCACTGTGCCACTATAGCTCCTCAATGCCAGCCTGACCTCCATCAAAATGCACCTACCCAACTTGTCTGCTCTCATTCTAGGTGACAATAGGTGTCCTGAGTCACAGGTCAGGTCACAATAAACAGCTCATTCCATGTATGTGAAGGAGGAAATACACGCAAAGCAATTGACATGCCAACCTGGAGCACCAGGAACACAAGCAGCTGTGCTAGGGGTCCTTCTGGAAGGGCAGGACCCAGAAGAAGGTCAAGAGTTGCTTTCTGAGCAGTAGGGAAATGAGTGCCAGCAGGCCAGAGCAGCAGAGGGCATCTTGGCAGCCTCAGAGGAGCAGTGGAAGTGGCAGTGCAGGCGGTGGTCCCAGGGAGGGTAGATGCGCAGCAGTGACACAAAGAGCAGTCTGAGAGAGCACAGGCAGACAGCACCATCAGCCGGAATGGCCCACAGCAACAGAAAAGGCAGAGATCCAAGGGGGCTCTGAGTACTGCTGAAGCCCACCCTGGGCCATATGACTCAGCAGTCCCAACCCAGAAGAAGTGAAGGCAGGAACTCAAGCACCAACGTCCATCAACGTTCATTGCAGCACTTTTCACAATAGCCAGAAAAGTGGAAACCACCTAAATGTCCATCCACAGATGAATGGATAAACACAATGTGACACGTACATGCAATAAAGTATTACTCAACCTTAAAGAGAAAAGAAATCCTAATGCATGGATAAACCCTGAAAACGTCATGCTGAGTGAAATAAGTTAGTCACAATGGGACAAATACTGTATGATCTCACTTATATGAAATAAGCAAATATATAGAAACCAAACATTAGTTCTTAGTGGTTACCAGGGGTGGGAGGGAAAGGGAAAGAGGGACTTTGTGTTTGTGGGGCATTGAGTTTATACTAATGGTGGTGGAATAATTTGGAAAAGGACAGTGATAATAGTGGCACAGCATGAAGGATGTCATCAATGTCATTGAATTGTAAATGTGGGAGTTGTGTTGGGATTTTCGTGGTGGGAAAATGAGCAGTTCTGGTCAGGGGCTCTCATATGATTGCAATTGGAGGGGACTGCATCTGGAACACTGGGCATGGGGAGTGACTGGGCCTCTCTCTCCCTTCATATGGTCTCAGGGT